CAAGAAGAACAAGAAGAACAAGAAGAAGAAAAAAAAGAAGTAGAAGAAGAAGAAGAAGAAGAAGAAGAAGAAGAAGAAGAACAAGAGCAAGAAAAAGAAGAAGAAACTGATTATTTAGTAGTGTAGATGGGGGTGTAAAACATCTACATCAATTATAGCACCTTTTGTGTCCAAGTGCTTTAGAGCAATAAAGATCTTAGTGCGCTTGCGATCTAATGGCAAAAAAAGGGAGTTCGAATATTTGAGATAACCGAATCGATCATAAAACCCTTGATATCACACCGGAGCTTCGACTGACAAACAATCATGCCATCCTCTTTATATCCAGTGGAAATCGATAGAGATTGCTCCATCGCTCCTTATCTTCAGGGAACCCACAACTAGAAATCTGGTGTCTGTAGTCTAGTTATAGTTAGACCTCTCGCTGTTGCACGCGAACGATGCGAGTGGGATTCCCGCAAGGAGAAGTCTAATTTTTTTAGTGCCTCTGTCTTTGTGCTGAGGTGCTGTACATATTTCACTCTCTCAGGTTTCGTTCTGACAGGGAACATAAAAATAAATGACCTGCCTCGTATATGGTCTAAATGTATTGTTGGGGGCGTAAAACGTTTACTGTCATACTCTCAATCTGTCTGCTAATTCTGATAAACATGCTCTAGTGAAGCGGGTGGGTAGAGGGCGCCTCCTGTTGGTCCTATTTCTTTTCTTTTCTTTTATTGTTTTTCTGTCTTTTTTTCTGGCCTTGTTTCTGCGCCAAATGACCGCTATGATGTGTCTCTTTGTTCTAAAGAACGAACAAACAAACGGTTTTTAAAAAAAAATTGAAAACACCTTTATAGCGTTTGTCTTTGGCTACCCTTGCACGTTATGGGGTTGTCTTGTTGGCAGTTTTATTCTGGTCTTATCTTCTATGCTAGGTCTGAAACAGACATCGGCGGTCATGGTTCGCCTTTCGTTTCGTTACCCAGATGCTCAGTCAAAAGACAATTATTATTTATTCTGGTCAACCTTTCTAAGTAAGTTACTTTTGGTCTTCCTCTTCGCTGTTTGCCTTTTATTTTTTTAGGCCGTATGAAAAGGAAAAGTCCGTAAATTCAGCCATCCGTTCGGAACTAACTTGTCCTGGTGTGCACATCGAGGTCTCCACTCTTTGTGGGGCCAACATGTTGGTAACCATGACGTCATGCGCGAAAGATGTTATAACTTTTAAAAAGGATGGGGACTGAAATAGACCTTTGCCGAAAATCCAGTCAAAAGTTGCGTGAAACCTGAAGTTTGCGATGCATAGAATTCATTTTGTTGGGAAACCGGCCAGTGTTAAGTACGGGAGAGTCACGAATTATTCATCGGTGTGAGCTTGTGCCGCCTCAGGAGAGCAAAAATAAAGTTCGGCTGGGGACCGGGAATAACTCACACACAATAACTTTATGGGAAAAAACATCGAGAGTTACCGTTCCTTACCTTTGTTCTGGTTTTAATGTTTTCTCGTGTGACACTACGTTTTATCTTATTATACCGAATAGGTCTAGCATTGTTGTTGCTACTGTTATTTCTGCTGCTACTGCTGCCGCC